ATGTAATTCCTTGAGAAAATGAAATCAAATGAGTATGCCTCAGTACACATTTGAGATTGATGAAAAGGGAAGTAAGGTTAATAACAGTAATACGATTCAAAAGATTATTTGAGGGAGATGTTTACATACTCTTGTTGTCAACTTAAACAAAACCTTAATCAGACATGTAATAAAAGAAACTCTTGACTTATGACACATCTCTAGTTGCAAGCAAGGCAACAACGTGACGAAATAAACAGACACAACATAAGTAACTAGAAGCATTAGCAAACATCCTGTTCCCCTCAAAACCCACTCATAGTCCTGGTTTCACCTCTCAATACTACCTCTACCGCCCCCAACATAAACCTTAACAGTTTCTTTCTTAAGAGTCACGGTTTCTTTCTCTTCAGTCTTTGGAGCATTCTGCAGGCCTGTGCCATGGACAATTGGGGAAGCTTCCATCTTATGGACAGCTTGTGGCTTCACATTCTCTACTTTCTTCGGAGTAGCAGCTGGTTCCTTCTTCAAGTCAGATGAACTTGTTCTTGAGCAGGTTCTCGAGCAGCAACTCGTCCTTTCCATCTTTGGTTTTGTTTTGAGAGTACAACAGACAAATTTGTGTATGAGATGCTGAAGAACATTAAAATCAAGGGTATTTATAGATGCATAATACTCTTCTTCATTTAGTTATGGATATAGTCTTTCACTGTAATTACTTTAATGAATCCAATGTATTAGAGGAAAACTCCTCAAATTCTGAGTCTCATTCATTAGACATTTAGAGTCCATTGAATTTTTTCTCTATAAGCTCAGAAAGTCCTAAATGTCACATCTTGTTGAGGCTAATGATCTGCAACTTTGTATGTTTAGAAGTAAATTAACGGTTCAGGGCCACATTCCCAAAAGATCGCCCATCTCTCAGCGTTTGGACCCTAAGTCATCGGCATTCTTGCATATGTTTAAACAGTTTCCTTGCACAAAATCTCTATCATGAATTCTTCTTCGGGCAGCCAACAACAGGCCCCATAATGCTTCATCTGGCTCAAACTCCATTCTTGTCATAATTTTCTCAGCCTCCTCCAATAGCCCTGCGCTCACCAACATAGCCACCATAGTCGTGTAATGCTCCAACCCTGGTTTAATCCCAAACCTCTTCTCCATCATTTCGAAATACTCTCTCCCCTTCTCCAGGAACCCTCCATGGCTACATGCGATCAGAACTGCAGTGAACGTCATCCCATCTACCTTTACCTCGGCCTCCACCATCCTTTCAAACAACTTAAACCCCTCCCAAGCCTCTCCAAGCTTCGCGTATCCAGAGATCATAGCTGACCACGAGATCTCGTTTCTCACTGTCATTCCATCAAACACCTTTCTTGCATTATCCAAATGGCCACATTTAGCGTACATATTTATCAATGCATTGTTGTTTGCCAAATCCAAAGAAAACCCATTAATTAAAACGGCAACATGAACTTGTTTTCCAAGCCTTAGATTCAATAATCCGGCGCAAGATTTGAGCACAACAGGCAAGGTCTGCCTGTGAATGGGCTTCTGGGCAGCGATCATTTGATGAAAAATGGAGAGGGAACGAGAGAATTGATTAAGAGAAGAATAGGCTCTAATGAGGGAGTTGTAGAGAAAGGTGGGTTGACGTATGGTGAAGGAGAAGATGATATGAGCCTCGCGCATTTGGGCGCAGGAGGCATAGGAAGAAACAAGCTTGGTTCGAATGAAGTCATTGCTAGAAATGCAAAGTCTTATTGTTTGGGCATGGACTTGCTTGAGGTTTCGCAAACTTTTTGCTGAAGAGCAAGCGTCGAGGACTGATGCGTAGAACGATATAGTTTCAGGCTTTGTGAGGCGGTACATCAGCAGAGCCTTGTTGACAGAACAAAGGGGAAGAGGACAAAGGGAGGCCAATTAACCTTTTTTACGGGTTCATAATGGTGTTTTGCAGTACAAGGTCTCTTTTTTTTTTTTTTAAGTACTATAAAATAATTATTATTAAAAAAAAACTCAATTGCAGAGTTTTTTCTAACTAATAATACAAATTAAATTGTTTAATATAGTTTTAATTATGAAAAAGGCATATCGATTTAGTGACTCAATAATTTAATATAAGCTTTTTTCTCACCATGATAACATTACAAAAATTCGATTTTCTTCTTCACTCCTTTCTCTCAAACCACTTACCTTAATAATAATAATAATAATAATAACAGTTTCAATTATACAATACTTTTTTATTAATGCATATTGCATTTTGTATGAATTGCAATATACCATGATAAAACACCACCAAAAGCAAACAAAAATAAGTTTTGGTTTATCCTAGTTTGAGGAAGGGAAACAAACATTCTTTAGTCTTCTCTACCATTTCTCTTGTGCTGTGTTTTTGAGTCTTTGACAATAAAGGATAATGTTATCTCATCACTGTTGCATCATTGCTGTCAGGGTCATTTGGAATAGACATTAGAAACGAAGCTCAAGGTTAGTTATTGCTGCAGAGTTGCAGTCATGTATAGCAGCTAGCAGCCACCCACTAATCACTTAGATTCTCTTCCAATCCAATCCACAGATACATATGGGTTTGACTACAAATGGTCATACTTGACTGTGACACTGCCGCACCACCCACCATCACATCTCTCTTCCCCCATTTCTCCCTATGATGTCATCTGTTTACTTTGTAATTATTGCCATTGTTACTGGGTAGTTTTGCTTCTTGTTGTCATCTTTCCTTCAAGAACCTAACCATTTTTAAGCTTAATTTGAACACCTTAAAATGACGAAGAACATAAACATACATACCCCGTTTTCAAACACTTAGATTTGCATTTGTACATCAAAACCACAATATGGAAAAACTTGCCTTAGTCCTCACCCAACAGAGATTAAGCTAATGCAAAAGCAGAAGACCAGTACATATATAGACCATGAAACTTTGTTTCTCTACCTGGTCAGACAAAAAGTTGTATCCCTAAGGTTGGTTTCTTCTAGCTCCAACAAAAACTACCCAACCAGCCCTTTTGTTTCTGTAATATATGTAAGACTAACATTCATGGAGTCCTTGGCTTCTTTGGGCTACGTCCATTCTGGTGCAATGGGTCCGGACCCGAAGGGACAGTTCTCAACTCCCAACCCACAGGATTTTGTGTGTTCTCAGCACCAGTTGATCCATGCAGAGAGTCATTCAGCACCTTATTCTTCTTCAAATCAGCCAGTGCCTGCAAGGGTATACACATGCATTGAGCATTTCATGTTAGAGCAAGCAAGCATATAGAGGAAATTTAAGAAGAAGAGCACTCCAAAAGAGCACACCTTTCTGTTGTGACTATGAGCTGCATTAGCATAGAAGCAGCCATTCCCTGAGATGCGGACTGTCAAAAAAAAGGCAGAGCAATGCTTAGCACAAGTAGGTTAACTAAATAAAACCCAGATAAGCAAATTAGTTAAATCTTTGAGAGTTGGAAAGGAACATACCCGAAGCTTCTTGAAAAACAACCATAAACAAGATCAGTACCAACGCAACATTTGCAACCTTTGGTGTGAAAAGCGCCATAGCACTGAACCTCAGTACGATGTATAAACAAAGAGAAACAGGGAAAATAGAGGATGCCAGAGCTGAGATGAAGAGAGTCCCAATTTATAGAGAGGGCTAAAGAAGGAAGCATTTGAAGGAGAGCTCATGCAAATGATTGCCTGTGCAGCCATTTCTGGCGAAATGATTAAAACCTTGTCCAAACAGCATCTCCGGATACCGGTGGCGCCTTCTTCAGCCACCGTCACCTCCACGTCACAGCCACCATCAACTCCAGTTCGATTGTACTCTTTTGGAGTCGTTTAAAGATTCTGTTATGCATTGAGATTTCTTTAATGGGGTTTGAAGTGACTGATGATGGAATTTGTACTCCACACAGTCTGCATATCTAGATTTTGCTATCAATTCTCCAAGGATCAGAGATTTGATCCTGTCCACAATTTTGAGAGAATATATATAACCCTGCAGCTGCAGCTAAGGAATTTTTTTTTATACATGAAACATGATAGTGTGAGTATACAACAGAAATAGTGCTCCACTTTTGCAAATCCCTCGGTTACACTTCTAGTCTTTCACCATCAATTTAAAATCTTAAACATTAAAACACACATGGTCTGCAGAGGAATTACTGTTTTATTCTACTCCTAATCCATAAAGGAAAATTACAGAATTGAAAACAATTGCGAGAAATGGTGATATAATAAGAGGTGGCAATGACAGATGGGTAGTTGTGAAGGGATTGATTGATGGGGTCTTCTTCCGTATCCCCTGCCACCTGGGTCTTTAAATCAAAAGATTTTGTTGCAGTAGGAGTTTCTGGATGAAGAATTCCATAAATACCTCGCCTAAAAAAAGTGGGGTTCTTGGATGATGGAATTTCTGCACTGTCTATCCCCACCTCATGCAGAACTAAATGTCTAAGCTAGTAAATTTCCCAACACACCATTAAAACAGCAATAATCAAGCTGGCAATTTGATGTAGAATAAGAAAGGCATTTTTTTTTATAATTAAAGAGACAAAGTGCAAAGAGAAAACCTAATATCCCAAATTTCACTCTCAATATGAATCTTTATTGAAACATATCAAATCCTAAAAAATACAAACTACTAGAAAATATATAATAATTTAATTCCTATACACTCAAAACCGTAATAGAATCCTCTATATGGAGGATTTTGCATTATACACCCATCACCTTTCTTGTCTTGCCCACAAACAAGTCTTTGGATTTGACCATGCCAGGAATACAACCACTCACGGTCATGAAAGGAAATTGTGCAACAGCTTCTTTCCTTCCAAGTGAGACCATGGCCATTGCTGAACCAGGCTTATAACTGGCCATTTTGCTCTCTTTTCCTCCTGCCATCAATAGCTTCAAGTTTTTTGCAACCACCGAGGCATGATTTTGAGCCAAATAACCTTGCTTCAATTCCTGATGAGTTGAATTTCATAAAATAGCATTGTGTAAGTTTTGCTGGCAAGATCAGTAATACTATTAAAATTAGCAAGTAAACATCATCACAAAGAAAAGACTCTAATGAAGTTGATAAATTAAAACCAGAAGGTAGTACTTACTGGAATATCAGTGATGTCCCCAATTGCAAAAATATTCTTGTGACCCTTGACTCTCAGATGCTCATCAACCATCAACCTTCCACCCTTATCCAAATTAGTCTTCAATAGACTCTCACGAAGCCACGCAGAGCCTAGTGGTTTCCCTGTACATAGGAAATAGCAATCCGCTTCAATGGTTTCTCCAACCGAGGTTTGATAAACTTTGCCTCCATCTGATACAGAATTCAAGTTGACAGATTGCTCCAACTTCACTTCAACATTCTTAGACTTTAGCCAATCCAAAGTCTTCTTAGCAGCCTTGAATCCAATAAATTCCAGCAACCTTGGACCCTTGTGCACTATAGTAACCTTCTTATCTGGAAAATCAACTGCAATCTCCCCAGCAAGTTCAACACCAGTGGGACCTCCTCCAACAATCAAAATGGAACGAGCTGCTTTTATCTTCTCATTTTCTGTCAGCATAATATATAGACCAAAATCAAATTTTGAGCAGGAGGGATGTCCAAAATACTCCTAGGATACAACAAAGCATTCACAATCTCCTATACTAATTCAAAACCAAAACTTAAAGCAGAAGGTGCTCATATATTCTAACAATAATAATAATCTTGGGCCTCAAAAATAGAGGGAATTGTTTACCTGCTTTGTACAGCTCAAGTCTCTCTGCCCTTGTTTTGGGCACAGGATCTTTGTGTCCAGTGGCAATGACAAGATAATCATAGGCAATTGACTCGCCATCCGCAGTCAAGACTTCAGCGTCAGTGATGTTTGCTGCAGTAGATGTAACAATGCGCCCATTTATAAAGTAATCTCTATGGTAGATCACCGATCTCTCAGCAAATGATGGCTCCACCATGGACCTCAAGCTAGCCCATGTTATCTCAAAATACTCCTTCCTGTTTCAGTTTTCAAAACAAGTTCATTAAAGTTAAGAAATGGAACATGCATACAGATTCATAATTGTTAAGTTCATCACAATGAACAATACCAACATCGAAAATCAAATCAAACCCACAAACAAAATCCCTCATTTTTTAAAGATTTCAAAACCTGGTAATAATCCATAAACATTTATCATCTAAAAATCCTTGATTAAGGAAGAAAAAAAAAAAAAATCATTTCTCCAAGGAATTGAAACAAGAATGGTTGCTTACGGGTCAATAAGGGTAACGTTGGCATCGAATTGCAGAGACTTAGCGAGTAAGGAACCCGCAACTCCTCCACCAACGACAACCACCTTTTTCTTCTCTCCTCCGAATTCCATTCCCTCGAAACAATTGCAGGTGCTCATTATTCTTTGGTAGGGTGGGAATGGAGAGACCTGTTTTGCGGCTTTGAACAAGGCGGGCGCATTTATATTGGTTTGAATAAGGAAGGAATGCGCGTCGAATTCGAAAAGGTTTCTAGTATTTTTATACTTGGGGATGAACCGACTGAACAATTTGCGTATGAGGTGACGATGGGATGGAATTTAAAAGGAAAGATGAAAGATCCTTTGGGAACATTTTCTAGAAGGATCGGTGAATATGAAATGAAAGGAACTCAGACGGAAACTTTAATGGGCTTGCGAAAGTTTGGTTGGCTACTGGGCTTTTTTCAT